GATGAACTCGAGCTTTTAAAAAAAACTCGTCTTACCAAATTAAATTTATTTGAATACAAGAAGATTATAAGCTAATCAAATAAGTTATAAGTTAGCTTATATGTTTACAAACACAGCCAAAGTATTTGGTAATAATACTCAGGTCTTTATCAAATTGACCTTAGGGTGTGTTTGGATGAGAAATTTTGGGGTATAGAGTAGGATTGCAAACGAGTCGAGCGACTCACGAGCCGCTCGTGAGCGCTCAAGTCAATGCTCGATTCGAGCTCGATCAAACTCAAGTTCGAATCGAGCTCGAGCAGTTCAATCGAGCAAATGAGTCAAGCCGCGAACATTATTTCAAGAGGGTCATAAGCTTGACGATTCACTCGACTTTTTTTTTACATAAATAACTCATATATTTCAATTATCAATATTAAAACACCAAAGTCACAATTATCTAAAAGTTTAAAAATAGTGTAATTATATTTAAAATTTAGTTGTTAAAATTTCGAGTCGAACTCAAGTCATGTTAAGCATCGAGTCAATCGCAAGCATCAACCCAAGCTTCAATATTCTTATTTTTTCACGAGTCGAGTCGAGTCGAGCACCGTGTTACATGGCTCGTCAAGCTCGAGCTTTAACGATGAAGAATAAGTTTCGATATGTGCTCCACAAGGTCCATGTTCAACTCGACTCACTCCATTTGTTTGCAGCCTTAGTCTAGAGGCTATGATTCAATGTATTAATTAGGCATACACATTCTTGTGTGAAGCGTTATGTGGGTTGATCCGTCCTACTTAAAAAATAAAATACATACTTATACTATGAAATATCACATTTTTGTTTGTATTATTTTTTAATGTATGTCATTTAAATTTTAAAATATGCACAACTATTAGAAAAGTATAGATGTCTACCCGTTAGACCGACTAACATCAATTTTATTGTTTCACCAATCATTATCTCAACTATCTTCCAATAACAAAAAATAAAAACAAAAATTCACAATCAATCAATTTAACAATATTTCATATATCATATGACCACACTAAATCTACCTATATAATAATTAGATAATTACTAAATCATCAATAAAGTCTCCTACATGATCATGTAGGGGTTTTGCATGTGAGCATTTTCACGTTTAATTTGCTAAGCTTGGGCTAAATTCATTAAGTAGGATGGCATGACCATCAACGATGTAATTAAAACGCTGTATTAAAAATCAATTATTTTATTTATATAATGATCATGTTGGAGATAGAATTGGTAAAGTTGGGGTTATAAATTTGAATTTACAGCGCCATGTCACGTTCCGCAAGGAGAAAGACCTACATCAATGATGAAACTAAAATTCATTTTTCAATGTATAATGTATTTAATTACAGTATTTTATTCACCAAATTTAAAAAATTTAAAAAATTAAAAAAAAAGGAAAGAAAAATAATTAATTATTCAGATTATGATTGTGATTGATAAGAATTAACATATGTCCTTGTTGTGAAATTATTAAATGCATTGATGTGGGATATAATTTACTACATCAACATTTCAGTATTGGAGAGGGCTGCTCATTCATTCGAAATTGGACCGAATCAACTGAATTTTCAATTTTTAGGTTAATCGAAAATGCGGTATATCCATTATAAAAATCAAAAACGAAATTGAGATTTAGAGTTCAATTCGGTTTTTAACCGAAAATTCAGCGATCGCTTCGGTTTGGTTTTTGTTAATCACAATAAATAATTAATCTTCACAACAAATTCTGAATTTTTAACCAAACCAAAAATCTGATTTTTTATCCAAACTAAAAATTTATTTTTTATCACCTTGTTTAATTTCTCAATAAATTTCAAATTATCCTTTAAGGATAATTTCTCAAAAATTTATTTTTTATCACCTTGTTTAATTTCTCAATAAATCACGGGCCTGAACCATGACTAGGAGTGACGAAACCAATATTGAGTGCAAACTAATGCTTGAGTCATTTTAGTGTCACCGAATATCGAAAATCATCAATCATTGAAGTAAATTAATGCTTTTGTAACTTATACGTATATATATTTATGTGTGTGTGTGTGTGTGTGTGTGTGTGTATGTGTATGTAAATCGGTTTTCTGTTAATTGAAATGAAAATCGAAATTTTAAGGAAATGTAAACCAAAAACTGAACTAAATATTTAGTTTCAGTTTCAGTCCAAACTAAATTTTCGATTTTAATCAATTCAATTTTTTTTTCGAAACGGCAGATATTATTTCTCCGAAATTGTTACAGAATCGGGAGCACATGCTCCAAAAAATCCTACAAGAGTAGGAAGAGAGAATCACCAACAATGGTGTTCTAGGCAAAACAACATACTAGGGATTAACAAGCCTGCTTCCGGCAGAGGCAACAGCTACTGGGCCCGGAGCTTGATTTCTAATCCCAACCTAACCAAAAGGGTAATGACCACTGATCTAAGATCCTAGCCAATACCAAGAGCAAAAGATAAACATATCCAAACCTAAAAAACAGTTGCCAAAACAGCCACCCTAGAATAAAAGGGCAAAAGGGGTGCAGTTGGGCATAAGAACCAAAAATATGAACAAAAGCTACAGTAGAATAAACCAAAAACAGCTAACTATATGCATGATTAACAAGCCACTGTAGAGTCTGACCAGTCTTGCATTGCTGCTGCAACTACAGCCCTCTCGCTTTTCCACAGATTTTGAAACACAATATGATTTCTTGATTTCCATATGTTCCATAAAATGCATGCAGTTAGTTGGAGTCTCTCTTCGACATAGTGAGAGTTTTGGATGGAGCAAAGTTTTGTCCACCATGCCTTAAAATTATGCGTGAGTATATCAATTCCATCCCAGCTAAGTGGAGAGAGTTTCCAGATTAACCGAGCTCTTGGACAAGTGAATAAGGCATGTTCTTGTGTCTCAACATCCTCCCCGCAGATGTTACAGATGGAGTCAATGTTGATACCTCTTGATGCTAGGTTGATGAGTACAGGATTGAGGTCACACCTCCATATAAAGTGTCGAATTTTGCCCTTGATTTTGAGTTTCCAACTGCGCTTTCTCATTTTCTGAGTTTCCTCATGCTCAGTGCTTTTCTCAGCTATATCTAATTTTCTCAATTTTTCTGTAACAAGTTTAGAGTACACAGAGGCCACCGTCAGTTTCCCTGTTCTGTCTTGGTCCCATATGAGCTTATCTTCTTGTGAGGGGTCAAGATCTGTGAGGCTCAAGATAGCTGTTGCTTCTAATTGATTAAATATCATTGCCACTAAGTCCCTGTTCCATCTCCTGCCTGTTGAATCAATGAGTTCTTCTACCAGAGTGAAGGAGTGCTTCCATTGGTTTCCTTGAGAGGGTCTGCCACCAGGTGTATTTGGGATCCAGGGATGGTCCCAAATATTGATTTTGTTACCTTTTCTAACCAGAAATCTTAAGCCAGAGTTTAGGGAGTTCCTCATAGTGAGCCATGAGTTCCACATCCATGAGCTATTGAGCTTTTTGGGAACAGTGAAGAAGTCTTCCTTGGGAAAGTATTTAGCTCTGAGGATCTTGCTGACCAATAGTGAGGGTTGTGTGAGAATTCTTCATATTTGCTTTGCTATCAGTGACTTGTTCATGAGATGAAGATCTTTGAATCCTAAGCCTCCTTGCGCTTTAGGTAAAGTGATCATGTTCCAGGATAGCCAATGAATGTTTTTTTTATTATGGTCCCCTTTGTTCCACCAAAATGATGCAAAGTGTTGTCCCATTCTGTGAGTAGTGGCTTTGGGCAACAAGAAGCAAGACATTGTGTATAAGGGCAGTGCACTTAGGACTGATTGTAGCAGCACCTCTTTACCTGCAAAAGATAAGAAACTAGTTTTCCAATTAAGCACTCTGTTTTTGATTTTTTTTTCCACAAAAAAAAAAATGTTTCTCTCTTTGATTTTCCAATTCCCAATGGGAGCCCAAGGTATCTAGTGGAAGAATGAGATTTAATACCAAGAAGGGTATGGCAGATTTGGTCTTGAGTGGCTTGAGGTGTGTTTTTGCTGAAATGAATGGAGGATTTAGATAGATTAACTCTTTGTCTTGTGAACTGATTGTAATTGTTGAGGATTTCAAGCAAAGTGAGGGCTTGGGAGTTGTCAGCTTCTGTAGAAATGATGGTGTCATCAGCAAAAAGTAGGTGAGTGAGTGTAGGACTTTGCCTGCAAATTTTTAGCCCTTTAAGCTTCCCTTTGGTTTTTTCAACATTTATGACCATGTAACACTTTTTTCCAGATCTATATCTGCTTAGAAAATGCATGACTTCTTGGGCAATGATAATGTTGTCTAAATTTGTTTGCCTGAGACAAATGCAGATTGAGTTTCACTATTGCATAAGTGCAGGCAGCTTTTAAGTCTTTTCACCAGGATTTTAGAGATGATCTTATAGACAACTCCACAAAGACTGATTGGTCTAAAGTGTGACACAAGCTTGGGATTATGAATTTTGCAGATCAGAGCTAGCAAAGTGTGATTGACGCTTTTAAGGATCTGACCAGACTCAAAGAAACTAAACACCGCAGAACAAATGTCAGGACCAATATAAGACCAAAGATGCTGAAAGAATAGGGAGGTCATTCCATCCATACTTGGAGCTTTGTAGGGATTAATATTGAATAGAGCTTTGTAGGGATTAACCGAATTTTGTGCATCAGTAGTTGTGACATAGAATTTAGTAGTGCTTTGAAACCAGCTCTATTTCAAAACTTAACCATAATTAAATAAATAAAAAATCATGGTGTAGACTTCATTTCTGCAACCAAACATGGCATTAATTTAATTGCCTTCCCATTTATTGTTCTCTATAACCGAAACTAGTCTATTTATCTTCCTTCCTTTTAAAATATATCGACAACAAGGATCAATCCAAAATACCTTTACATTGAAAATATACACTGAATCACATTTTCCGCCACCCTCCGCACTTTCTCTCTCTACAACACCACACCAATCCCTCTCTCTCTTTCTAAATTCCCCTTTCCGATGTCTTCCGGCTTCTCCGGCGGCGTCCCGGACTTCTTCTCCGGCAGCCGCAGGGCCGCCGTTCTACCCACGTCCGCCAACGCTGGCACCTTTAACGCAAATCCCAACCACCAACAGCAATTCTCCTTCCGTTCGCCGCTCGCCGGAGTCCCACCCGACCCGGCCGCACAGATCCGGCGGTCCGAGTTTACCGGCAAGAGGTCGCTCGCCGATTTTCAGCAGGCGAGCCAGGGATTAGGATTCTATCTCCGGAACGTGAAGCAGAGGCCCGGAAACTACCACCACGCGCCGCCGGTTTCGCCGCTCTCTGCGACGGATCTCACTCAGATTCCCTCGATTTCGCCGGTGATGTCCGCCCTCAACCCGCGGTACGGCCTCCCCGTCCTCCAGCAGCACCGGCTGCAGCCCCTGACGATTTTAAACAGAAACGCCGGCGGTAATTTGCCCGCCGGAGCTTCGATGCTGAACTCGGGCCAGAACAGGGGATTCGGGCCGAGTAATTTGAGTTCGGAACCGGAGTATTCGACCCGGGATCAGTCGGAGAAGAGCGTTATGATGAGCCACAAGCTGCTGGAGCTCGAAAAGCAGCTCCTCGGAGACGACGAAGAGGGCGAGACAGTATCCGCCGTCACCGACAGCGAGTGGTCGGACACGATCCAAAACCTGATCGGCCCGGCCCGAAAGCCCATTTCTTCCTCCCCAACCTCGTCCTCCTCCTCGTGCTCCTCGGCCACGCCGGCGCTACCCTGCCCGAAGCAGGCGCTCATCGACGCCGCGGCCGCCGTCTCCGACGGCCGTCCAGAGGCCGCCGCCGAGATTCTCGCCCGCTTCCAGCAACCGGCGGCGAACCCGCGCGGGACTCCTGAGCAGCGGCTCGCTGCTTACATGGCCGCGGCGCTGAGGGCGCGCGTGGCGCCGGCGCAGCTGTCACAACCGGAGGTTCTCGGGAAGGAGCACGCAGCTTCGACGCAGATGCTGTACGACGCCTCGCCGTGCTTCAAGCTTGGGTTCATGGCGGCGAATCTCGCCATCCTCGAGGCCACGGCGGAGCAAGGGCTCTCCAAAATCCATGTCCTCGACTTCGAAATCGGGCAGGGCGGGCAGTACGTGCACTTGCTCCACGCGCTCGCTGCTAAGTGGAAGACAGAAACCCCCAATTACGACGGCGCGTCGTTGAGAATCACCGCCGTGGTGGATAAATCCACCGCCGGCGGCGCCGCCGCCGAGGAGAAACTGAGAATCGTGGGCGACGGCCTCCGAGCGCTGGCCACCAGAATCGGAGTCCCGCTAGCGTTCGCAGCAAAAAATCTCGAAATCGCCGAGTTAACTCGGGAGAATCTGGGAATCCGGGACGGCGAGGCCCTTGCCGTGAACCTCGCGTTCCGGCTGTACAGGCTGCCTGACGAGAGCGTGACCACGGAGAATCTGAGGGACGAGACTCTCCGGCGCGTGAGGGGTCTGTCGCCGGAGGTCGTGGCGGTGGTTGAGCAGGAGTTAAACACCAACACTGCCCAGCTGGAGGCGCGTGTGCGGGACACGTGGGAGTACTACGGGCTGCTGCTGGACTCGCTCGAGTCGACTCTGGCCCGGGACAGCTCGGACCGAGTCAGGATCGAGGAGGGGCTTGGCCGGAGGATGGTCAACGCTGTGGCACGAGAGGGTTTGGACCGAGTCGAGAGGTGCGAGGTGTTTGGGAAATGGCGGGCCCGGATGTGCATGGCCGGGTTCGAGCCGAGGCGCATGAGTCGACTCGTGGTGGACTCGCTCCGCGCTAAGTTGAACTCTGGGACACGTGGCAACCCGGGTTTCAGTGTGAGCGAGGAATCGGGCGGCGTGGGGTTTGGTTGGATGGGTCGGAATCTGACGGTCGCGTCTGCGTGGCGTTGATTTGATCTCACGTTTTCTGTACCTTTTTGTTNAGTGTTGATTTTTAGTTTAGGTAATTATGTTTTTTGTTTGGGTGTAATTTTGTGTTGGTGTGTTTCGTTCAACGGTGTTGAAAATATCCTTTTTCTTTTCGCTTTTGGTGTTTTATGTGAGGAAAGGAAAATGGGAATGAATGGGAGGGGGAGAAAAATGTAATAAACGGTGTGTGCCTTTATTCCTCTACTACATTCTTAATTAATTAGTATTATTTCTGATTTGTTATTGTTTCTCTCACAATTACCAATTTAATTTTGTTGTTTCAAGATTTCAATAGTTTTAGGCTTTAGTGATCTTAAACTGAAGTGTGATTGTAGTTTGTCTTTTATAGATTGGTTTTCCTTAGTCTAAGGACTTTTGAAGTGAACCAAAACGGGTTAGATGTCTAATTCTCGACACTTAGCCTCGTCGGCCAGTTCGCAAGATTCGATCTTGCCTCAAAAGATTAATCATACTATATATATATATCTGCGCAGACGTGTTGATTTGAAGGTTAAAAAATTCGAGACACTCAACTTTGTCAGTCAGACTATTAGATTCGACCTGGTATTGTCCCATGATGAAATTAGGCATTCGATCACGCACATTCATACATAGATTTTGTAAATGTATATTGATCCGACAATTAATAGTATCCATTGAGCATGGTGAAGTTGAACGAAGCCAATACTATATGACTTAGGGATGAACTCTATTAATTTCTCCCATCTCAACAAGTACTTAAATGTTAAAAAAATTTGTATGCTTTGCATAAAACATTTTACATATGCTATACATATTAAAAAAAAATGCAATATAAAACTAGAAACAAGTAATAACATAATATATGGATGGATATGGTTTAGACTTTGAGGTGGGTAAGTTTGGTGCAGCACACACATTGTTTTTATTAGTTATATATATGGGTCCAATTTTCATTTCAACAATAAAAGTGAGCCCATTTTGTTTTATTTTATTTATTTATTTATTTATTTATTTATTTATTTTGGTGTGAGATTATTGAAAATAATGTTAAAATGATTGTATGGTAGCATTCACGTGCGCGTTGGGAAGAAACTCTGGTTTTATTTCGGTTTTGGCACTTTTTTATTTTTTCCACACCAAACATTTTACCAAATTAAAAGTGCCTACAATTTTAAATTATGTGAACATGCAGTGTAGTAATTTTGTATTCATATTTGTTGTTTCATAATGATTGGTGCTAACTACTATCATCCTGGCTTTCTGGTCCTGAGTCTCTCTACCGAACAATTCTTAAATTCACACACACAAAAGTAATGGACATTTATTAAATAAATGAGCATTTAGCAAAAAATACATAAAAAAAAAAATCATAAATTTCTTATGGAAAAAAGTTGATAAAGAATTAATGTTCTTGAGGAAAAAAAAATGTTGAAGTTTGTTCAACATTCAATGCTATACAAATGAACATTCTAATGTTAGGTACATTATTTTTCTATAGTATTCTACAATTTGATGTTAGTGATTATGTGAACATTTGAAGTGACTTTCAATTACTCGCAACATTATGTTGGAGTACGTTGCATAAAATCTTCTAAATCAATGAAAAAAAATAATAATGCAAAGGCGTTTCTTTCTGTTCTTTCTTTCTTTTTTCTTGTTAAATATGAATTCGTGTTTGTACAAAAATAATGACTGAATAATATGTTATGATTTATAATTTATGCCAATTTTTGAATGGTTAAGGTAATTGTCAGTACATGATATCAAAGGCAATAAATCGAATCATCAAGACTGCAGTTAAACAGGCGCAGGGTTTAAGTAATAATATTTTTTCAAATGATATAATATACAAAACAACATAAAAAATATGAACAAGATTCATATATTGAATTTTTTCATATATTGGTGTTTCTATGGAAAGGATAAACTACTAAAATGGTTTAGTAATAATGAAAGCAATCTTGCTTCAATACTTTTGTTAATGCCTCGAAATCCATATATAATACATTATTACTATGTAATAGATGGCAATTTTTGTTATTTCGAAAGATAAAATAGGTTGACCTCAAAAATAGGATCTTTAATAGATGACATTTTTTGTTTCTTCGAAAGATAAAAAGAGGTTGACCTAAAAAATACTAATAGTTCACACACCAGCAAACACGTGTCAGACGTCAATTGGTCACTTACACTCTACATTAACAAATTTAATCATTTCTCTACTTTTAATCCTCCAATGCACAAAGTTAACCCAAATGTAGTGGTGAGGTGAACATATTAAATGTATACAATGTAGAGAAGAATGTGGTTCATCCACATTCTCTTTTACATCCTAGTCAACCAATAGAGAGAGGTGAGAGAAATATTACTACTATTTTTAAAATATTTAATTATTTAATTTATTTTATTTCATATTTATAATTTATTTATTTTGGGCAAGTGGACAATATTGTGTTTGATTATATTGTGCATTGGAGATATTTTTTTAGATTTAAAGTTGTGAACTTAACAATTATCTTATGTGGTTCACAATCCATTAAATAAATTGACATTTGTCAAAACTTATGTAATAACAACATTCAAGCATTGGAGATGCTAACGCGAAGGATAAAGCTTTTTTTTACATCATAATTGAATTGAGATAGATGATGGCAAAAAATTATGTCTAAATTTAATAGTGGTAAATTTTAATTGTAATGGGGTGTAAAAAAATCGGTAAATTTGCGATTTTATGTGATTTTGTATGTGATTTTTTGTAATACAGTAACATGGTGAGTATGGTTAATATAGGCATAAAGTTAGTGGATGTGAATATTCGGCCTAATTTGGCGAGTTAGTGGATATTTTTTTCTCTTAATTCGTTTATCATGTATTGTTATGCATAATATGCTCGATTTTTATTAACGGTTAAAAGTTAGTGGACAAATTTAATGTATACACCACCAAAGAATTACTAAATATATTTTTACAATTTAAACCTTTTTTTTAACACATTACACAAATGATAAGTGAATATCAAATAAGATGTTTTTTTCACATGCAATTCTTGATTCAGAATGATGACATTATGATGTTATGACAATAACTGCCAAGCTAATAAGAGATAATTGTGAGGGACTATTCAACATTACACATGTTTATTAGTGCTTTTCTTCTCAAATTAGTTTTGGAGATTTTTTTTTTTTTTTTAAAAAAAAGCTAGTTAGGATTGTTTTTTCAAGGATAATTCTAATTGTAAGTTGAATCATCAAAATTCGATAAAACTTCAACTGAATTTATTTCTCCACAATATTTTAAATTAGAACCAATTGCACCTATTTATAGTCTATTACATTTTATACTAGCTCGAGCATAGTTAAATCATTCGATAATCTGACTTCGAACCCTCCTAAACTCATCGTATCTGCAATCGACATCAATAAGCAGCCTCCTTCGAACCTTGGAACCCATTTATCGAGCTATTCTCCACAATATTGTAAATTTGAACCAATTGCATCAATTTATAGTCCATTCTATTTTATACTGGCTTGAGAATAATTAAATCATTCGATAACCCTAATTCGAACCCTCCTAAACTCATCATATCTAAAATCGACCTCAATAAACAACCTCCTTCGAACCCTAGAACCCATTTATCGAGCTATTCCCAAATCCATTTCTTTAATATAGAACCCAAATATAGCTGGCCCAACACTTGGATGGCTATATAGTACATTCCTAGTTGATTTTTTTTTTTTTTATTTTTTTCTCCACGGCAAATATGGGACAATTTTCCTTAACATTATTTATCACTTCACCTAAGTTTTTATGAAGGCAATAAAGCATGATGACGTCGTGTGATGTACCCCGTCGCCGCCTATGTTCACAAACCGTGTTAGAACGAAAAAATAAATGACCATATTTAGTATTTGGCGGGAATAGTTATGGTGAAAAGTTAATACATTGCCTAACAACACTCAACGGTATTTGATACTTTATCGTTACTAGTTTTTAACCCGTATATTTGTACGAAAAACAATATGATAGAGAAAAAAAATTATAGAAAAATATGAACTATAGTAAAAATCATAACATAATCACTGAAAAAAATATTTTTTGAAAAAAAAAAAACTAAATATTAGTATATTTTTGTTATAAAGATATGACGGCTGATAAATGCATGTGTCATGAAATTAAATGATTTGCAAAAGCAGGTAACATTAGTTTCACATACCATAATGCAAATGTACTAAAACCATTAATATTGATGATTATAGGAAAGGGGAGAAGGCTTTTTGAGAATAGACATGGCCACGGGTCAATCGGCCCGCCGACCTGGCACGGACCCAGCACGGGTCCGGCCCGGTCAAACCCGTTGACCACGGATCCAGGTCCGGCTCGGATTTTCAACCGGGTCGGTTCAGGGTCGTCTTTTTTTCGACACCGACCCAGCGGGCCGGGCCGGGCCGGGTCCGGTTCAGCACGGGAAAAATCAATTGTTTTTGAATTTTTCTATTTTTTCCTTTTTTTTTTTTAATTTTTCCCGGCCCGCCGGGTCATGGGCCCGGCACGAGTTTAGGACGTGCCGGTTCAGGGTTGACAAAACCCAACCCTTCAGCCCGCCGGGCCGGGCCCTGAACCGGCCCGCCATTTGACCATGTCTATTTGAGAATGAGGTATAATAAAGGAGAAATTTGAAGCCAGCCTTGGATTTGTTGGATATGTATTGACATGTGTTTGATGAGGCAATTCCTTACACAACAAATTTTTATTGTTTCCTTTGTATATGTTAGAGGAGAAAAAAAAAATATTAACATCTTTTGTTTATTAACTAGTACGTAACCCGTGCGATGCACGGGATGTAAAATTTGGAAGAATAATATAACCTCACGTGCATTAGGATCGAAATTGAAATCATTAAAATACATAGGAACATTGTTGAATCAGAAAAAGTTCGGTAACAATCATATATTATTAAAAACCTCCTTGTACACAACATTATGAGTTTGATTATTTGGTAA